AGTCATRATCTAATCCCAGCTTCAACAAATAACCAAACCCAAGAAATTAATTTACAATCAACCTCAAATCAACACCAAGTACCAGTAACTTCTAATAATCAAACTGAAATAACTCTTTCACAATCAATTTCAAACAATCAAGAACCTGTTTTTAGTCAAAGTAAAATTAATAGTGAACAAGTAACGCCCAAGAATCAATTAGCAGCACCAATATCAAACCAAATACCATTGAATAAACAACAATCGATTCCAGAAGTACATACACCGTTAGTATGTCAAGCAGAAGTTAGTCAACAAAACATCATTAATCAAACACCAGTGCAGACCCCTATCAGTGTCAGTCAAGTATCTAATCAAACTACTCCAAGTATACCAACTCCTAAACAATCACCTGCTCTTCCTACAACTCCTTTGCCAGAACGATCACCAATGTCAATTATTGCTTCATCTCCTTCTGTGACTAGTTCACCACATCCTAATCGCACACCTTCTGATAAAAAATCTCCTTCTAAACCTACTCGATCTTCAAGTCGTGTTACTGCTCAATCTTATAAATCACCTGAAATAGTTGATCATTCACCAGAAGTTAAAAAACAGAATAAACGAGGACCAAAACCTCAATCCAAAACTTCTGGACGTGGTCGAGGTCGTGGGCGTGGGCGTTCATCGAATCATTTTACTGATTATAATCCTGCTGTTAGTAAGCTTGCTGGTACTGCTTATGATCTTGATTTTGTCGAAGAATTTGGTAATGATAATAATGGTGTTATGGAGAATCTTCGAGCAATGCGTGAACGTAAAAAGTCTGATGTTAAAGCTGATAGTAAATCACCTGTATCTCCTAAAGTACATAGCAGCCCTAATAACTATAGAAGAAAACATGCTAGTATAAAAGAACTTAAACCTCCTTCCCCCATCACGGAAACTCCTATTGAAGATCCACCAGCTCAAATAATAATGGATGAACTGACTCCTATGTTACCTGCGCCCGTTGATATGAGAACATATGATTCATACGATAATACAACATCATATTCTGATAACATTTATGAAACCAACACTAATGTTGATGATAAAGTAACTGATATTGTGAATACCTTAAAAGAAGACTTACATAATTTTTCAAAATTATCTTCCAAAGATAAAGATATTGAAGATCAGTTAATTTTAATTGATGACCAGATCAAGATAATTAAATTACCCCCTCCTGTTGAAAAAGAACCAGTAGCATCGAGTACAGTATTGCAAAGTGAATCTAGAAATCAATTAAAAGTTAAAATAAAAGGTCCTTTCTTAAATGCTAAATACAACAACATTCAAAATCAGCCAATATTACCAACAATTGATACATCAGCTATAAGTATGAATATACCAAGCCATTCAGTTCCTCCTTCAGAAGCTGCTAGTGTACCCTCCAATTTCAGACAAATGAGAAAAAAAGAATTACTGCGACAATATTGTAACCAACAAGATAATATCGAACAGACAACAAACCATCCCGTAGTCCCTCCATTAAGTCGAAATATCATTACCATACCAAAAGCGGTAGCATCAATGACTACAATCCCTACTAAAGAAGACTACAAAGCAGTGGTAGATGCTAATATGGAAAAGAAGCGTACTAAATATGGATCTGATGATCCAAAATCTAATTATTTCAACAATATTCGTAAAGAAGCWACAACACCTAAGATAAAAATAAAAATTGGTGGCGAACAACCTATGGTCACAACAATGGAAGAAAAACGTAGTCTCCGTCCGCCCAAAAAAAGGATTTGTGATACTCAAAATGATGATACTAATCATTTGATAGCACCTACTATGGAACAGTTAAGGCGAGACAGTATGAAATTCAGAAAAAAAGTATTTGCTCGTTTTGAAGAAGATGCATTAGCATCTACTTCAATTCCTATAGCTACTGTTGCAAAAAATAAAAAGAAACGTCGGTCTAGTCCATCAGTATCTAGAAAAAAGAAACCACGCACAAATAAAGAGATATCTCAGGTTCAAGTGATAGAAGCTAAAGAAAGCACTCCAAAATTGATTATTAGATTCTCAAAAGCAGCACCTGATGAAGCTGAAGTAAGTGCAGTAACAGAGCCAAAAAAAGCTTCTCCTATTAAACTGAAAATATCTAGATGCAAAGAAGGATATGTTATGAAACCTCCTAGTAAYCAAACGAATCCTGATACTTCATTAAACAATAATTGTGAAGTTAGGTGACGGTAAAAATTCTTATAAATTTAGATCAATCTTATCATTGATAAGCATTTYGTGTAAAAAAATTAATAAAATGTAATTTATTTATTTAATTTTAGTTTGTACATTCTTATTTATTTATTTAAAAAATTTTTAATTTATTTAAAATGTAAATTCATAATATTAAGACGTTGTTTTCCTCAATTTGTTGTTAATTGAACTATTAATACAAACAAATGTTCTATGAATACTCCAAGTTATTAATATTATCATGTTAAGGCCAGCAGATGTCAATTAATTTTAATTTTGTTATCTAGTTTAAGATAAGAAATTTTCATGTTAATGTGCAATATGCAAAATATTATGTAAAGTATTTTTTTTTTTTTTTTAAGTATTGTTAACCTTTTACATTAAAATCGAACAATTTTTTCTTTTTTTGTACTTGTTATATTACCAATTTTTTTTAAAGTTTACGTTATTCTAAGCCTTGGGTTGTTTTTTTTAACTGTGATTGTTTTATTTTTTTGACAACATGACAAAAGGTTTATAAAAAAAAGCTTGTAATGAAGAAGAATTTATTCTACTATTTTTCAAATTATAATTATTATTAATTTTTTTTTTTACCTAAATTTTTAGTCAATATTCAGTTTTTTTTAAGCTTTAAGTAAATTTAATACATTTGACAATTAGTCAAAAAAAGATCTCAATTTTCACTTTTGTTAGATTTTAAGATTTTATATAGAATCTAAATGAAATAAACGAAAATTTAGGACTATTTTATTAGCTAAAACGAAGGTTTTAAACTATTGGGAGGATAAAATATATGGTTTTAATTTGTAGGACTTCTTTTATTTATACATATATTTTATTTAAAGCGTTTTAATTCTAAATAATTAATGGACGTCTGTTTTTTTTGTTTAAAAATAATAGACAATCGTAACATTTTAAGGTGATCACATTGTTGGTAGTTTTATTAATACAATATTATTGTAATTGTATTTCATAAGTGTTCACAGTGTTTAAAAATAAAAAATTTCCATAATTTTAAGATAGCTCAACTGGCAAATTTTTCATTTAACAAGTAAATTATACAATTGTGTGAAAACTTGTGTATTATTAATTAATTGATGTAACAAGTTTTTTAGAACATAATTTATTTTTTTGTTATCGATTTTGTATAAACTTTATTCCATAATAATCATATACATATAAACATATTCTTCTTTAACCTATGTGTATATTAATTTTAAAATTAAGTTATTGATAAAAAGAAAAATCTGATGATTTTATAAAATTTATTATGTTGTGTATATACTTTATCGTTTCGGTCTTTTTTTAAATTAAAATAATTATGTAGATAATTATACTTATTTATATTTATTTGTAAATAAATAATTACAGAAATAATATTTGACAAAGTTGTAATTTTATTGATCAATACATAATAATTTATAACAAATAAATTAGTTATAATTTATAAATATATCTTATTTTATCATTTATTGAATTTTAAAATGTATAGCATATACAAAAAAATGTATTCAATGCTTTACATGTTATAAAACATTTTGCTTTTCACTAGATTTTCCAAATCAAGTTATTCAATCTTTACAACTCATTAATTTAAATAAAAAGAAATACTGATGATCATTTTTTTCATTGCAATTAAAACTGCATTTTTAAACGATTAAGTAAATAGAAACATTATATTATTTATTTTGTTTTAAAAAAAGAATCATCAGCCAACTTTAGGATCACCATACGTCATGGTTTGGCTGGGACAATACCAGTCTTGGGTATGGTGTCCCGACAATGTCTTTCGGGACGGTGTATTGTCCCAGAATGAGACTACAATAGTTTATTTTATCTTTTATTGGACATATTTTGATTGAAAAAAGTAACAAGTAAGRTCTGAGATAATTATGAACAAAATGTATACAATTTATAGTTATAAGTTGAATAAATGAATAGCACATGGACAAAATTACGAAATAAATTAGATATAAGTACTGTTGAGGCTTCATTTATAATTAAAACAAGTTTTGATGACATGTCTTGTAGTTAATTGTATGAGTTGATACTCGCCTACAAACCATTGCTC